ATACATACATACAAGTTAAAGGAGACTTCCTCCTATATCTATTACTTTCTTACGTACATTTCCTAATTTCATCATTCATATTTATCCCTATCTATTTACCTACCTGCCTACCCTGCCTACTTATCTAACCCCCGCCCCGTCTCACACACCCCTTTACCCCCTAACATTGCACATACTAGACATATAAATACATATAAATTAATACATATATACATATAAATTCCCCTTAACTTCCAGATTCCCCAAAGAGAAGACAAAATAGGTTAATTAGGAAAAGTTAGAAACGAAATCAACTATGTTCGCGACTTGCAGTTTCTCAGGTCGCTCCTGACACGACAAAAAAAATAATTGGTGGGAGTTACAGTGCTTTCTGAAAGTTGGAGCCATCTTGGAAAGTACATACATATATAGAAATATATAGAAATAGATATAAGGTAAAGGTAAAGGTTTCTCCCTGACATGAAGTCCAATCGTGTCTGACTCTGGGGTGTGGTGGTCATCTCCATTTCTAAGCCGAAGAGCCAGCGTTGCCCGTAGACACCTCCAAGGTCATGTGGCCAGCATGACTGCATGGAACACCGTTACCTTCCTGCCAGAGATATAGTTACAGATATAGTTATAGATATTATATAGCTACTAGATACAGATATACCACCTCATCACCTAGATCTTCAGCTCAGTCCTAAGACACTTGCAGGACAGAGCCATGATGGAACCTGATGGAGCCCATCACATGACACAGGGCTTCTTCTGGCATCTTGGCTCTGTCCTGCAAGCATTGTAGGATGGAGCCAAGAGTACACGGGAGGCTTCCCGTGTTCTCATAAGAAAAGCCAGGGAAAGCATGGGGGGAGGGGAGAAGCCAGGCATTGGTGCTTCCCCCCATGGGATGAGAAAGGGAGCAATGCTGGCCATGTGGGGCGCAGGGCAATGGTTTCTCCCACATTGCCCACCAGATTTGCCCTACTTCTCCACAGATGACCTCTCTTTCCTCTGGCTTGAGTTGCTTAATGTGATGAGGTCCATAGATATACCTGGGGTCAGGCCCGTAGCCAGGATTTCGATTCAGGAGGGGCTGAGTTTTTTTCAGGGGGCGGTTTTGGGAGGGGGGCTGAGTTTCGGGGGGGGGGGCTGAGTCTGAGTGAAAGAGGGTCTACCCTAGCAAACCTTTTGTATCATTACCCCAATACCCCCATGCATATGGGATATATTGAGTATGGTGATCAGATCATGATATGAATAAACATAACAGTTTAAATAATGCACCAGTAAGGCCTTTTCGCGAACCACCATGAGAATTTCAGGGGGGGGGGCTGAAGCCCCTCAAGTAAATAAATAAATAAATAAATAAATAAATAAATAATATTATTATTTTTGGATGAGTTTTGCAGACCTTTTGGAACAGATGGTTTCTTTTTTTTTCCCCTCCCTCAAATAAGAGAAATGTATTTTGTTTTATTTTATTATTTAAAGCAGAGTGTTAGAGGAATGCATAGCCGGAGAGGAAATTGTTTTAAAATACTGCTGAGTGACCCAATACGTAAAAGCACTGTCGCCCAACATGGAGCCTGAGCGAAGCAATGCAGGAAGTATTAAAACTATTGTGGCTTCATTTAAAATACAACCCCCCCCCCCCCGAAAAAGTATAATCATTAGAGAGAATGTCTTACGTGCATGCATATCCGAACTCCCATTCAATAAAAGGCCTGTTAAACATTTTTTTTCATATCATTTCCCTGTTTACTTTGACGCTTGTATTTTTTAAAAGAAATGTTGAGGACAATGTTTTCAAATAGGCTTTTATGACCAAGTTTCCAACACACATGGGTATCCCATAAAACCTACCAGCAGTTGCACTCCACCCATGGCACCAGCCCAGTGTTCAGTGTGTTTTGCAGTTATAATAATGATGCTTGGCAGCTGTTACAGTCTCAGCCTCCATCATTACAAAATCCTCCATAAGCTGGTGAACAAATGGAGACTGTTGAATTTTCTGGAGCTGGGCCGAAGAGGAGA